TACTTATTTTAATATATAAATATATATTTGCACCTATTACGCTCTCACGGGCCAAATGTGATTTAGATATTACTATTTCTACAGTATGAGCTGCTCACCCCCTTCCTCACAAGGTAGTAGGCCAGATCAGTAGCCAACATGTCAGGACTGAGGGCCGCTTCCATCGCATTCTGGTTGATCTGAAACACAGAAGTGTCAACAGGAACTAAACAATTGTCATCTTGATTTTTGAAAGGCTGAGAGGTCTAGAACAATATGTTGTCAGCATTCTTTTAAAAAAAAATTCTTTAAAAAAAGCAGTCTCAGAAACCACAGTGTTTAAGTGGAAATGCATCAGTGTTAGCCCTCACACCGACATTTTCTACTTAGGCAACAAGGTCACAGAAGACTGGTAAATAAACATTAAAACCACCTTCACATGAGCAACTGCAACTTGACACTTTCACTTAAATGTACTCCTGAGAAAAATCTTTGATAATGGCTTTTGGGATTTTTGCATCTAATATCTGTATTTTATTTTCTAAATAATTAACTGTGACTTAAATATCTGACCTTGAGAGTTGACATAACTCCCGTCGTCACCTGCAGCACAGCATGAAGAGTATCGTAGCAGTCAAACATGGCTTCCTTGTCTTCCTGAAGGATGATGGGCAGCGGAACAAAAAACATAAGACAGAAATTCTTCCCCATAAGGTGAACGCAGACAAAACCACAGTTTAGTACCTGCAGGTCTTTGTTGTAGGTGCTGGGCAGGCCTTTCAGCGTCATCAGGAACCCTGCACACTGAAATACAGATAAAGGAGTCACACAAATTACTAAAGAAAACAAAGTAGGTAAAAACACAAAGTGTGAGTGTGCTTCTGAAAGGTGTAAAGGTTCATCCACAGTGAAGGATGGAAAAGGCTGTGGTGAAATCACTTCTAACATATCAGTCCTCTCCTAATGGGTAACAGGGAAAATGTTTGAGCAAAGAAGTCACACTGTTGCAACAGACAGCAACAGGATTAATGGGAAATGAGGTAAATTTGCATCAATTTCACACACACATATTAAAGAGCAATATCAGCATATTTAGTTTTTTCTAAAATAATTTTGAAAGTGATCTGACCACAAAAGGTAGTATGTGTGCAACCCTGAGACACAACACTAGCTGCCAGATAATTTAACGAAAGTGTATCTTCAGCCCAAGGTCTTACTCTGCCAAAGACACGGCCTGCTTTACTCCTGATCAGCTCCAGACTGTCGGCGTTCTTCTTCTGGGGCATCAGACTGCTGCCTGTGCTACACACACACACAGAGGAAGAACGGTGGAATTGGAGGTAAACACATTTCAACAGCACAATAAATGACTAGGATTACTAGAAGGGACACCAGCTAAGCTCAGTGACAGTAATGACACTTGTGTTTTCATTTCACTTTGATATCATTCAGTATAAAGATGTGATCTTTCAGCTTAGCTTTTAGCAGCCATCAGACTTTTAGGAGCTTTAGTTGTTGAATTATTGCTGTGAATATGACAATATGTACAAGTTTATAATCACACTAGAGCTTACAGTGCCTTGCGAAAGTATTCGGCCCCCTTGAACATTGCGACCTTTTGCCACATTTCAGGCTTCAAACATAAAGATATAAAACTGTAATTTTTTGTGAAGAATCAACAACAAGTGGGACACAATCATGAAGTGGAACGAAATTTATTGGATATTTCAAACTTTTTTAACAAATAAAAAACTGAAAAATTGGGCGTGCAAAATTATTCAGCCCCTTTACTTTCAGTGCAGCAAACTCTCTCCAGAAGTTCAGTGAGGATCTCTGAATGATCCAATGTTGACCTAAATGACTAATGATGATAAATAGAATCCACCTGTGTGGAATCAAGTCTCCATATAAATGCACCTGCACTGTGATAGTCTCAGAGGTCCGTTTAAAGCACAGAGAGCATCATGAAGAACAAGGAACACCAGGCAGGTCCGAGATACTGTTGTGGAGAAGTTTAAAGCCGGATTTGGATACAAAAAGATTGCCCAAGCTTTAAACATCCCAAGGAGCACTGTGCAAGCGATAATATTGAAATGGAAAATGGAAGGAGTATCAGACCACTGCAAATCTACCAAGACCTGGCCGTCCCTCTAAACTTTCAGCTCACACAAGGAGAAGACTGATCAGAGATGCAGCCAAGAGGCCCATGATCACTCTGGATGAACTGCAGAGATCTACAGCTGAGGTGGGAGACTCTGTCCATAGGACAACAATCAGTCGTATACTGCACAAATCTGGCCTTTATGGAAGAGTGGCAAGAAGAAAGCCATTTCTTAAAGATATCCATAAAAAGTGTCGTTTAAAGTTTGCCACAAGCCACCTGGGAGACACACCAAACATGTGGAAGAAGGTGCTCTGGTCAGATGAAACCAAAATCGAACTTTTTGGCAACAATGCAAAACGTTATGTTTGGCGTAAAAGCAACACAGCTCATCACCCTGAACACACCATCCCCACTGTCAAACATGGTGGTGGCAGCATCATGGTTTGGGCCTGCTTTTCTTCAGCAGGGACAGGGAAGATGGTTAAAATTGATGGGAAGATGGATGGAGCCAAATACAGGACCATTCTGGAAGGAAACCTGATGGAGTCTGCAAAAGACCTGAGACTGGGACGGAGATTTGTCTTCCAACAAGACAATGATCCAAAACATAAAGCAAAATCTACAATGGAATGGTTCACAAATAAACATATCCAGGTGTTAGAATGGCCAAGTCAAAGTCCAGACCTGAATCCAATCAAGAATCTGTGGAAAGAACTGAAAACTGCTGTTCACAAACGCTCTCCATCCAACCTCACTGAGCTCGAGCTGTTTTGCAAGGAGGAATGGGCAAAAATTTCAGTCTCTCGATGTGCAAAACTGATAGACATACCCCAAGCGACTTACAGCTGTAATCGCAGCAAAAGGTGGCGCTACAAAGTATTAACTTAAGGGGGCTGAATAATTTTGCACGCCCAATTTTTCAGTTTTTTTATTTGTTAAAAAAGTTTGAAATATCCAATAAATTTCGTTCTACTTCATGATTGTGTCCCACTTGTTGTTGATTCTTCACAAAAAATTACAGTTTTATATCTTTATGTTTGAAGCCTGAAATGTGGCAAAAGGTCGCAAAGTTCAAGGGGGCCGAATACTTTCGCAAGGCATTGTAAACGTCATGTTTACAGAAATATTATTCGAACAAAAAATACATTTTTTTCTATGTGAAGACCAAAGTTGTTAAATTTAGTTTACCCAGATTATTTACTAGATATTAATGAATCTCTGTAATACACACTTAAAACCAGTGATTTCACTGTAATTTAGGATCACGTAATAACAGACAAACTGACCTGTAGGCATCAGAGAGTGTGACAAAGGAAAACTCCTTTGTGCTGTACAGCATCAGATCCTCAGCCATCCTGCTGAGATGGGTCAAACACAGCGAAGCCCAGAACAAGATCTCCACTAAAGAAATGTGAGAAGACAGAATTAAACTCCAAGACCAAGGAAAAGGCAATTTAATTTGATTGTATTTTCATTGTTCATATCTGTGTATGATTGCCAGAGTGAGATGGTTTGGACATGTGCAGAGGAGGGATAGTGGTTATACTGGTAGAAGGATGTTCAAGACGGAGCTGCCAGGCAAGAGGAAGGACAAAGAGGAGATATATGAATGTGCTAAAAGAGGACATGAAGTTAATTGGGGCAAGAGTAGAGGATGCTGACGATAGTTAGGTGGAAACATGATTCGCTGTGGCGGCCCCTAACAGGAACAGCCGAAAGACGAAGATATCCGTGTATGACTGGTGGCTGGCTGACACATGGTTTACGCACCAACAAAGTCCCTTTGGCCTGTAGCATCCATGCTGTTAAGACTGATGCCATCGAACGCCAACTCTACAGAACCAGATGAGGAAAAAATGGTTTCAGTTTTTAACCTGCAAAACTGATCACTTGGCCACTTGGGGGCAACATAAACATATTATCAACATAGCACGACAGCAAATTCAGGTGAAAGTTCTGTTTTCACATTTTGATCCTGCTATTGTAAAATATCAGTTATAGCCTTTAAAACACACATTTCATAAATAAAGAAGACAGAAAGTAACAGTCTGGTTATGTTTTAGCTGCGTGGCCTGACCTTTCCGCAGTAGCTCCCTGTCGATGCTGAGTGGTGTCCCAGCAATGGCACCGCTGGAAACAACAAGAATCATTCTTATTAAATGCTCAGGTCTGTGTGGAGAAATCAGTGTCACACAGTGGATGTTCACCATATACCTGCCCAGGGGTAAAACATTAACTCTTTTCTTGAGCTCCTGAAGCCGGTCCACATCCCTGCTCAGAGCAACAGCATGACTGTGGGGTGGTGCAGCCAGCAAGAGTGTGGTAAGAGAGACACAAGAGTGATTTGAACATCGTCTAATATAAAATGCGGGATTCATGCACTGTAGGTTTAGCTTTAGAAAGGCCACCTTAGAATCCAGTGGCTCCACCGTATTGGCTGAGCTCTCTGCATGTGGGTGTAACCAGGAAACAGGACATCAATTTCTCTAAGGTTCAGAAAGAGGTGACAGAAGACGCTGCATGGCAACTTTAAGACAGGACAGTTACAAGTAGGTTTGTGTATTTGTGTGTGCCAGTGTGTATTTATGTTACACTGCTGCTCGCTCCACCATGGTAGATATCAGTTGTAGGGCATTTTCTGTGAGGGCTGAGATGGCGTCTCGCAGCCACAGCCGCATGTCAGTCACCACCTTGTCAAGCAAAACACACACAAAATGGTCTCATGATACTTTGTCAGCTAATCCTGAAGTAATACACAGTCAACAACTCCAAATAATAATGCAGTTTCATTCTTCTAAAGACACACCTGGTCGTTTCTGCTCCTGCCGGTGTGCAACTTTCCTGCAGGTGCACCAATCAGCTCCTGAAAAAACAGGTAGGATAAAACTAAAAATAGCCATAGGTTTCTGGTAAATTATCTTTTAATTCATTACTAGTTTTGATCTGTTCATAAGAAAGATATACATGATCTCCAGATTTATTCCTTAAACCTTACTTGAAATGAAAAAAAAGCTGCAAAGCTCAACAGTCAGTAGTCTTAAAGGTTATGCCAGCTCAATCTGGCAGGTTTGGACAGAAAAATAATGATACTGACATAATACCTCTGGCCAGAATTTATAATCCACTTTGGAATATACTTTCCAGTCAATGTAAAGCCACTATTAAAGTAATTATAATTATAATATGAATTTTAGTGCAGCGACATAACTAAAAGTCAGATGGTAACACACACACTGCTTGTGTTGTCTGACTTTAATACAGTACATTATATTAGTAGTACAAGGTAAATTACTACAAGACAAAACCACTGAATATAATGTATAGAACTATGAAAATAAGACTTTGGTTGTAATAAATTGAATAATCCTTTAATGTAGCTGACCAACAAACATATAGTAGCAGCATAATTTCATGTCTGCCTCCTAAATGAGTAATACAGAGAAATGTCCAGCGGAGCACAACAAAAACTGTGAAATACAATTTTTCTTGTGTCTGCAGAGTTAGAGTATGAAGAACAAACAAGCTACACCTCACCTTTAGTCTGCGCTCATTGGCTGTATGAATGTCTTCATCCCCGGGTTTGACCACGAAAACACCTTTAGACCACTCTTCAGAAATCTGAAATTAGACAGAAAAACCTCAGGATGGAGAAGTAATGTGAAAACTCACCTGACTTTGTGTGTGTTCTTGAACTTGCTACACAGTGAGGGCCAAAAAAGTATTTTTGCTACAGAGTGAGGACATTTTGGCTGGTCCTCACATTCTGAAACACCCTTTTTTGAGTTAAAACTTAGAATTAGGTTTAGGTTATGCATTTAGTTTTGATACTTAAGGTTAGGGACAGCAGCTAGGGAATGCATTATATCAGTGAGTGCCCTTGCAAAGATAGAAGTACAGGTATGTGTGTGTAACAGTTACTGGTTTACAGGTTTGGCAGCTGACACCTGTTACATATTCACCAGCAGGATACAAAGGAATCCTGCTCAGCTGTCATTCATCTACCTTTAACCCAGGGTACACAGTGACACACATACCCAAAACACAGAAGGAGTGTGTTTCTTTGCATACAAGTGTAAGAGAATATAATCTATGGGTTCACAATCATCCAGCTGTCAGGAATCCGCTTGTGTTTTATCCAGAATTTCCCCTTGAGCATTAATAATCTATTTATTAGTCTATTTTCCAGAAGTTGAGTGCAGCAAGTTGGGTGTGTGTGTGTGAGAGAGACAACCTGGTCCATCCCATGTAAAATCTGAGTCATCTCATCCGTGGTGACCAGCTTTGCCTTCTCTAAAGCTTTCACATAAGCCTTGCTGCCTCGAACGTCAGCATCCCACATCCTCTGATCATAAGAGATGGACGCATTGAACTTCTCCATGACAGGATCAGTCTCTCCCACAAATCGCCCTCCCCAAAGTTTACCTCCCTGATGAGACAAAGGGGGGAAATGTGCGGACATTGCAACATTAACGTAAATTAATCTTAGAAACATATGGCAACACAGAAGACCCTTAACTAACTTTTAGAGAGAGAGCCCAGTGGGGCCGCTGTCTTTGTTACAGCTAAAACAACACTATGGTGCAGCTAAACGTGAACCTTACCTCTGGAGTGGCCATGCTTATCTACGATGGGAGTCCACCGCTTTCCTTTTGAGGCAAGGTTGCGGCCGAGGGTCGGTCAGAAATAAATTCTGCAGCCGTGTCCCTTTAAAAGACGCCCCCAAAGGCTTTCGTTGGGCATTACATCATGCGTACGGCTACGGTGCCTCTCTTCTTTTAGAAACTGATCGCAGACTGCCGGTGTTTTGCCGAGATTTGCTACCCTGGATCAACGTCTGTTAGTTGATTAATCCCAGGTAGCAAATATTGACAGAACACCGGAGCGCGCACCTGTTAAACAATTCCGGTTAATTTACCTGTACAGCTGCTTTTGTCGGGATCAGACTGTAATAAAGTGCAAAAACATACACATCGTGTATCCCCGTTTTAGTACAGTTTAATGTCTTTGTAAAACTTTAAACTTTGAGGAAATGGTAATGGAATAATCGTACTTATAGCCACAGGAAGCCGTAGCAGTTGACTACAATAAAACTATTCAGTCTCAACTGCTGAACACAGTGATGAGAAAAGTCAGCCTATTTGTTTACAGTGTAAAAATACTCTTACAAGTATAGGCCTTGCATTCAAAATGTTACTTAAGTATTAGCATCAGTATGAAAGTGCCAGATTTTATGCAGAATGTCACATTGTTCATTACTGCATTACAATCAGGCCTAGGCATTGGTGTGTACATCACTTTAATGTAGAGGAATAGATGCATCTAAGGATCAAAAAAAGTATCATGATTGTGTCTGGTTTTATTCTTTTGATTCTGAAAAGTAACTAGCAGGCTAACTAAAACGATAAAACAAATGTAGAGGCGTAAAAAGTACAATATTTGCCTCTAAAAAGGAGTGAAATATGAAGTAGTTACAAATTAAATACTCAAGCTAAGTGTCATGATTCTGTCCCACCTGTTTCCGTTCTCGTGCTTTTATTTTGACATTGCTTCCTGTTTCTGTTTCACCTCGGTTTCGGACTTTTTACTTTAATCAGCACTCATTGTTTTCACCTGTTTTCACCCCGATATAAGCAGCTTTCCCGCTCCTGTGTATATGTGCTGGCAAATGCTTTTGTGACTGGACCTTGATAGAGGAAGAGTGTTTCAATCACTTTCACAATATCACTGTGTAAATAAATTGTGACAACAATAAAGATTGTCTATATTATTTATGTTCTAAATTTTTGTTGTAAATTTGTGCTTTATTCTATTTAGGTTTTATTGTTTTAGTAATGTTTTCTATTAACTACACATGTTCTATTGTGCAGCACTCTGTGCTTTTTTTGGAGTTGTAAAGTGCTATATAAATAAAGCTTTATTATTATTATTATTATGTTCTATGTATGGATATGCATCATATATAAGAAGGTATTTATTTATATATACCTTTAAAATGGGTATGACTAACATTTTCAGCAAAACCATGTTTGTAGAAAGTAGGCCTACATTTTCTGAAGGGAAGTGCTTGTGACTGGGACTATACTGTAGAAGAGTCTGTGTTTGTGTGTTTTGCCATGTTGTAGGCCCATCATTTAAATCCTTTGGATACTTAGAATAGAGGTGTCTTAACACTGAGGCTGTGTTGTCAGAAAATGGCAGATGTTAGTTACAAATGTTACATTTGTTAGAAGAAGGATTTTAAATTCTATTCTGGATTTTACAGGGAGCCAGTGGAGAGAAGCTAATATGGGAGAGATATGATCTCTCTTGCTAGTTCCTGTCAGTACTCTGGCTGCAGCATTTTGGATTAACTGGAGGCTTTTTAGGGAATTATTGGGACATCCTGATAGTAAAGAGTTACAGTAGTCCAGCCTGGAAGTGACAAATGCATGGACCAGTTTTTCAGCATCACTTTGAGACAGGATGCTCCTGATTTTCGCAATATTGCGCAGGTGAAAGAAGGCAGCACATATGATGATCTACAAGTAAAAAGAATCACTGAGGATCAGCCCAAAGTCTTATTTGGTTATTCGGGTAGTGTAACTGTCAACGTCTTCTTCTTAAGGCGCATTACCGCCACCTGTTGGGCCGGAGTGTGGAACGACAATAGAGCCGAAGGACAACGTTCAACTAAATCAGCTGACTCTAGATCAGCAAGTTACATTTCCCATCGTCTCTAGCGGTGGACCGCGAAAATATGAACTAATGTGAGGAAATTATACAGCTTTGCCACTGACACACGTGCCGAAACGGTGTTTCTGTCTTTCGACTTTACCCGTCACTATCAGGAGGATCTGTACTTATATCGCGTTTTTGGTAAGTTGTTAAAGCTAAAATTACCTCAAACCATTCTGTATCAGGTAAAGAGAAAGCAAAAAACAAAACATAAAACCATGATCCATACTGATTTTTAATGTACTCTGGGAACAATATTTTAACTTCCGTTTTGGAGGATATTGCACTTGACAAACGTGTCAGGGTTTACAGGCAGTCATACTAACAAAGCGGTAACATTAAATGTTTAATCTCAAGATATGGATATGGATATGGTGCCATATCGATGATTTTAGTTATTGGGACTGAAGTGAGCAGAGTCGCTGTAAACAACTCCGAGTAGCGAAATCTTGAAAAAGTTAACGTAGGCATACAACTCACAAGATGTAAAGTGTAGTAAAATCGGTTCATATTTATAGTAAATGATGTTAGCTAACACTGAACGTAAGTCGGTCCAACAACGAGAACATGGCTAAAGCTAATGCTAAAATCCAGGCACTCTCAATGCTCTATGAGCCGGAAATCATGGACGCTAGAGGGAAGAATACTCTGACATCACCCGCTAAATCATCGATGCCACAGAAGAAACAAAAGGGAGATGAAAATACACACAGGACAGGAAATAACAGGGACACTTCCTACATTCTAGAAAAGCCCTTAACACTCAGTGACACCCACTTTCAAGGTCATGAAAACTTTATGAATAATCACAACAAAGGAAAAATATACTGTTCTGATGGTTGTTGTGTTGCTGCTTCCTGTCTGTGTGTCAGCACCATGTACCAGGCTCCAGTGTGAACAGCGCTCAACTCCTAAACTGCCACATGTGCACAGCTGAGGGCTTGTCAGTTTAAGCTGTCAACATTTTGTGAGATTACTAATTTATATGGGGCCGGGAGCTATTAATAAGTCAAGTCTTAAGTAGTGCTTAAAACATTGATGTAAATATTATTGCTGTCTTGTCTCAAGGAAAAAACAGACCATCAAAATGGGGAAACCAGTCAACCTCCTAATTTACAACCTTTTGCAAAGGTTTGTCATGTTTTATTTTATATCTGCAAATGGAATCTATAGTGAAATACACAAATGTATTTTTCTTGTAATTGGGTCACAATTGTTTCTGATAATAAATATTTAGTATGTGTTAGTACATTTTCATTCCACTTCAGCCAGGTTCTTGTAATATAACAAGGTGTAAATGTAGTATCACTTTATTGGAATGGAAATTGTATTTACTGCATTTAAATGAAGTGAGACTTAAATTTTTTTGTTCCTAGGAGGAGGAGGAGAAGCATCCGACCCATAGTTTTAAGTGGTACCGGAATGGCAAGATGCCCACAAAACTTACCTGCAACAAAGCAGGAACTGTTGAAGACTCGCTGAAGAGAAGTGCACAGTTTGCAGCACTTGCAGGAAAAAAAGAGGGCAAAGAGCTTGTTGTTCTATTGGATGGGAAAGCTATCAGTTCAGACTTTCCATGCAGCTTAATTAAAAATGGGCGTGTGACTATTAAGTATGTCAAAGCTGTAGAGAAGCTAAAACAATCAGGTAGTGGCTCTGTTCGTCCTCGTCCCCGCAGAAGGGTGCAACCTAGTGAGCTTGTGACGTTTCATGTGCAGACAATAGGAGGTAAAAATGTAGTGAGAATTCTGAAAAATCCAGCAGTAAAACGTGTCAGTCAGGAAATGACTGTTTATGCATATAAAGGGGAAACAGTGAAGCAGGCTCTAAGATGGGATGGTCGTATTCTGAGTCCCGTTTTCAAAAAGAACTGTGGGCTCTCTGAAAAGGTCACTGAAGTTTACACAGAAATGTCTAATCCTGTTGATGATCTTGATGGTAAAACCTACAAGATCATACTGCTTGATAAGTGTAGACCACCAGAAAGTCAGCCTGGCAGTCTTGATGATGCTACAATGGAAAACAATTCTCAGAGATCTGATTCTGATGAAAACCATGCTCCTACACAGCAGTCCACCACAACTGAATCAGTGAATGACAGCCCACCAAGAAAGAAACCAAAGCAAGGAAATAAGGCACAAAGAATAAAATTAAATTAAATGCCTAATTCAGAAGAGATGAGGAATGACTTGTCTTCATTGTTTAAAAATTCTGTGAAAGAGAAGAACTCTAAAGTTCCTAAGCTGTCTCATGTCCAGAACCTCTTGCGTGTGGATTATGGAAAGAATGCTGAGACATGCAGGGAAGTGAAAACAATGAAGAAACTGATGGATCTTAGTAATTCTGTTTGCCTTGTGAGCATCAATGGGAGCCCAGCAGGAAGTGGCTTTCTCCTGTTTGGCAACTTTGTCCTCACAAATGCCCATGTAGTTAAGGGCATTGAGAATAGAACACCGCTTACTGACAGGGTCACTGTCCATTTCTCTTTTGAAAGTCTAGGTGAGATGGGGCAAGAAATGGAGGTGGAAGAGGTTGCTGGTTGTGAATATGGTCTTGATCCATCACGCCAGATGTACGACTGGGCTTTGTTAAGACTCCGAGCTGATCAGACATTGCCTGAACCTCTGTTGAGCCACTTTGAATTCCTTCCCAAAAGTTGTGGAATTTGCATTATTGGACATCCCAATTGTGGTGTGAAAAAAATTGATCCATGCCTGATTGTTGGATCTGATTATGACCACAAGGCTCAGTGGATTACTGATCGGTTCTTTGGGAACGTGTCAGAATGTGTTGACTCTAACAAAGGGGTTCTAGTTTACAACTCTTGTTTTTATTATGGCTCATCTGGCTCTCCTGTCTTTGA